CCCCCCCCCCCAATCTCGTTCGCTCTGCCTCTGCTCTCGTTCTGTTGTCCTCTATCCTTTCCTCCTCTCTTTGTCTGTCTCTAACGCTAACATTTGCACTCTGAGCCCCCACATTTCCCCATTCCTCGCTTATCGTATGCGGTTCTTGAAAAGAAAATGGATTTTCCTGGCATTAATACGCAATGAGCGCCCCCTACCTAATTAAATTAATTTCTTTAACGTTTAGTTGTCCCTCCTCCACGGTCAAACATCAGCTGCACGCTATATCCTGTTTGTTTTTGCCTTTGAGTTGCTTTGCTTTCTAGTTCTGGTCTTTACTCACCTGGGTCGTTAATCAGTTTTCTTGTTAGTAATAAACGTTCTTTTCTTTTTCGTTCGCTTCCATTTTTTTGTTTCCTCTGTATCTGCTTTTTTGCAATTTCCTGACCTTTGTCTGACTGCTTGCTCCGTTGTGTTGTTAGGGGGAGGGGCGTATCTAATGCATGAAAATGTTCAGCTTGCACACTATGCTCATTTTGGCAGTCGTGAAAGAAAAAACCTCAAGCCCACATGCATTCAGAAAGGAAAGTAACCTCGATATTTTCCTGAGACAAGACATTTCAGGTTTATAACTTCCCGAAAAAAATGACAAGCTCTTTGTAATATGGAAAGGAAAAGAAACTCGAGGATCTTGGAAATTATAATTTTTTTTTATCTACATCTGATACAATGACCCTTGCTCCCATGTTTGGTTGGTAAGGACTAACAGAGCGCGTGCAGTCTTATTCTTGAGCGAGAAATTTGATATAGATCCTAACAATAAGCAAACATTTGAGACTCTTTCATTTGTTAACATCGTGTCGCACTGATATGTTTTATGCTGTGGTGCAGAGAAGTTCAGATTCAGCAGGTCGAAAGGCATGCCGCGACGCCTTTCAGTGTTGAAATCCTGTTGATATGAGTAGTTCATTAGTAGTTCTCAAGAGGATTTCAAAGACGAAAGGCGTCCTAGCTCGCATGGCGCACCTTTCAATTTCGATCCTGTAAAAACAGCATCGTGTGCACCCCCCATAACGCTGTAACGCAGGGTTTTTCTCTCCGTTCCCTCCCGGCAGGCGAGTGCAATCGTCGAAAGCGACACAGGAGGAAAAACAAACGGAAAGGACGTCGACGGAAATGGCCTCGCCGGAGAGGAGGAAGGCGCGGAGGCAGGAGGGGGAGGCGGAGGGGAACTCGCAGGAGGGACAGCAGACTATACTCTCACCGGAAGAGAAAAGTGCGTCTGCGCAGACTCTGTCGTGGACGGGCATGTCAGAGGAAGCGGAAGTGTCGCACCAGACGAATCCGGAACTACTGACGATATGTGTTACCATGGCACAGTGGTAGAACGACTGCTGGGCCAGTGTCACAAACCGCTCACTAACCTGTTTATCCACAAATATCAGATCCAAAAACTCGGCCACTGCTTCTCTCTCAACTAGCTTCAACTGACACTCTCCGGACTCGGGGAAGAACGGATGACAGATGAAATGGGGCTCCGTATACTTGACTGTGCTGATGCTTTCACTTAGAGTCGGACTTGACCTGCATGTTACGCTGGTAGTTGCCAAAGTCCTGCGTTGCCTACTCGCTTTGCAGCTAGGCTAGAGATGTACAACTGTTGTGCAGAGACCCATGCATGGAGCACGCCCCCTCCCCCCAAAGTAAACCGCATTCAAACCCTTCTCGGCTCCTTTGCTGCAGCGAGGTGCTTGAAGGATTGAGACTTAAGCAGTTATTCTAGCTTGGTTTTGGTATAATATTAAAGCAATATTAGGCTCGTAGAAGCCAATAACACAGCAGCCTAGAGGGTTTGATTGTGTACTTTTATTAGAGCCTAATTTTAGTTTCGTCCGTGTTTTTTATTTGCTGCTTTGTGTGCATGGTACTGTGTAGGTTGTGCCCGTGTTCCATGTCTGTTGTTCTCCAGGGGATATGAATATTGATGCAAATTTTCCCTTTTTCCCAAGAGGCACATAGTGGGGGCGTGCTGCCAGCAAGAACGAGCTATGTGATCCGAGGAACACGGTATCCTTTGCAGCTGTACTGTTTTGCAATCAGCTTCTTCGTCTGCTGTTTACTGTTGAGATTTTGCAACGTCTTCAAGTCGTAAAGAGACATGACATCTTTAATAAACAAAATCTTGTCTTGCCCCGGCAGTCTGAAACAGCACGATGAAGTACTACAACATTTCTGATGACGTCTTCGAGTGTTGACAGATTTGAATCTTGAGACGCTTTTCCTGTCTTTGGTATTGTCTTCCTTCTCGTTTGCACTGGCTTTGAGAAGCGTGAACATTCACTAAACACGAAGCAACCGATTGCTGCAGCATTGCAGGCTATTTTTGCAGGCAGCTTGTAACAGACGAAGTTACTTCTGCAGATTTGGAAATCAACATTCTCAAACGACTTCGACTCCTGTATTTTCTCAAAATCGCTGTCCAGGCCGAATGCCAGATCAGGAGTCCAGAACAGCGGAAGAGTTGATCGTTACAACTGATAACAAACACGAAGTAGAAACATGAACTGGAGGACGTTCTGAGATCATTTTTAGAGTGAACTGGAAGGAGTGAAATGGGATCAGTGAAATGGAAGGAACTGTAACCAGTTAACGTGGTTATGACGTGCACATGGATGATAATGCACGGTCCCGGAAGTGTTGATTCGGTAAGAGACATACATACATATCACAACATACTCCACGCCCATCGTGTCCACTCGTCGATTTACTTTCTTTTGGTGGCGTCGGTTTTGAAAATCAGAAAGTAAAGATTTTGTGCGTGTCTGACAGAGATAGCCCCATATGTAGAGGAGAGAGTATGGTATGGAACACAACATGTAAAAAGCGTTTATTATCATGTTTTTGTATTTTATATACATTTTATTTGCAATGATCTGTCATCTAACACAAACATTTTGTCCGCCTTTAAGGTAACCTAAAAGTGTTGATAAGGGCGCTACATCTGTACCATTTCACATTTTTACACATATTTGTATTTTCAATGTCAGTTTCAATATATTCTGTTATTGAAAAATTCGCTAATCCTTCATATTTTTTAGTGTTTGTTATGGAGCGACGAATGAAAAAAGCGTAATTGTGAAAGGATTGATGCCCTAGTTATCGAGAAATGTAAATATTTATTACGCAATAGAACTGTTCCCAAGTGTTCGCATCAAGAGCGATAATTCACAGCGCTGTCCTTGCAAAAACTGCCCTTTGATGAAGCGTTCTCCTGAGAAACATGAGAAGAATGGCGCGTCACTTTGGGTTTTTTTTCTTTTAAAGGTTAGGAAAAGGGGGGGGGGGAGAGAGAGAGAGAGAGAGAGAGAGAGAGAGAGAGAGAGAGAGAGAGAGAGAGAGAGACAGGAAAAGGGGGGGGGGGAGAGAAAAGGAAAAAGAAGGTAACAGACAGACAAATAGACAGACATACAGGGAAAGAAAGAATGAACGAATAAAGGAAAGAAACAATGAAAGAAATGAAGGAAGAACGGAAGATAGAAAAGAAGGAAGGAAGGAAGAAAAGAGTTCAGTTCACGGCTGATCATTATTATTTTGCACTGTAGGCGAGGTTGGAACAAAGCAGTGTTCTGTGAAAATCTACCTGTCTGTCCGCCTGTCTGTCTGTCTGTCTGTCTGCCTGTCTGTCTGTCTCGATATTATTAATCCGAATACAGAAAAAGAGGCTAAAACAGCACCTGGACATGGATGGCTGGTGCCTCTATAAATAAATCATTGATGGTCAGGTCTGTCTGCCTCTTTTCTTATGTTCAGTCTCTCTCCTTTGTAAGTAGGCCATTTCTTTTTACTCAACAGTCAATTAGTTGATATTAATTGGATTCTTAGTGAGTAATCATTTTGTAAATGCAAAATACTTAAACATGCGAACATAGACGTTGTCGTAGAGAACAAGCCTATCGTTTCCTTCATCTAATATTTTCATTCTTTCAACGTAAATCATCACATTTTGTCAATTCTCCCTAAACGTTTTTTGAGCTGTATTTTTTGCTGCCTTTACCATCTCTGTCGGATTCAGAATACATGTATTTATATTCAGCTGCCCACGAGTTTACGGTAAAAGGCCTCGGTTATATGTTATGAAGAATATGTGAGGCAGCGTGGTGGAATCAGGCTCTCGTCAAAACAAATAAAATGAAGAAACTTGCATTTTTCCGCAGGTTTGTGAATTTTTATCAATTTTTTTTTTGGCTCGACATCTTTCATGCCCATTATAGAACTCATTTCTGTGTGGAATTTTCTGAAAAACGTTGAATAAATGTACAAAAATGTAAATTTTCAGTTACCAAGGACTCTTAAGCTAAGGAAATAACTAATCTTTGGCGGCCATTTTTTCACCAATTTTACCTCTGAAAACAGGTGACCCCCACCTCCTTCTTTCGCAAATATCTCGACTTGTATTCAAGATAAATGAATATTTTTTCCCTCCAAATAAAGACAAGTGAACAAGCTTTAGGATGATACCAATACCTCTACATGCCCCAAAATTGACGAGAGCCTGATTCCACCACGCTGCCTCACATATTATTGTTTTGTTTCGTTACTCAACGAAATTCCTTGCACTGTAATACTCACAACTTTTTAACTTATTACAATGTTGTGCATAAGAAATCATCGCGTGAATCATGCTACTGTATTCCACCCAGTCTAAATTTTGTACATTCTTCTACAATTTCATTGATTTTACTAGATAAAAGAAACGACCCAAAAATATCTCTCAACGTTTTACCACATTTAGGTATATCATCAAACTTTTGAGAAAGATAGTTTCACAGAAATGTTCATGCCTTTTTAATCATGGTGATCTAGTTGTATACACTGAATTCTGCTTATTTTTTTTTGTGCTGTGGCTGAAAAGATGACTTCAGACTTTAGGGGAACAGAGTGATTAAAATAGACAAATTCAGGAACTGGCAGAATTATCCATTTTCTATCTTCTTCTAAAAAATAAGACACCCTCCACCCGCTTCTCTTAACTCAAAGTCCAACCCCACTAACTCTTACCTTCTACTCCCCCACCCCCCCTTCCCCCGAAAAAAGAATTTATGCTTTTTTACTGTACACAGACATAGACGGAAAGGCCTTCTAAAAAGAAAGGGGTAGAATAAGGTTTTCCTAAACCCATGTCCCACCCCGCTAACCCAGCCCCCCCCCCTTATGAAAAAAGATTACCAAAGTTTGTTTTACAAAAGAAAAACGTTCTAATGAGAAGTTGTTGAATAAGGATTCGGGGATGGACGAGGGAGGGGGGAGGGAGGGGGTGAAGAGGGTGACCGGGGTGAAAGGGGAGGGGGGTCTTATTTATTGTCAGCCAGCCAACCGAAATGTTAATAAGAGACTAGAAATTAATGTTAAAATGCTTATTCGGTTATATAAGCTCACTCTTGACCCACTGATAAGATGCTGTGAATAATTTGGCATAATAAATTATGGCACTACTTCGTTTGTTTGTTCCTGTTCTTGAATTTTGTGTGAGTGAAAACTTACGTGAGTTTTTTTATAGGTGAGGGGG